CGACATTGTTCGAGTACCTGATGATGACAAAAACCTTGTCGAAACGTTGTACATTTGCTGTCATGTTAAACTTGTATTAAAGTTTTTCTTCATTACCCATTTAAGCCGTCTCCAGCCATTATATATATATATATATATATTTGCAGGACCCTACGTCACTATCCGTAGTTATCAGCGGACACATCGACATATACTGATTTTTGTCAAATAATGATTATCAGATATTCAAAGCTTTGTAAGATAAAAACAATTAATGAATTAATTAATTACGATTTAGACTTTAGGCTCTTTTGCATTGTGAAGAAGAAATGAAAGATTACATCTAAACCATTTTTTTTAGTTCTAAACATGCGACATCATACGTGAACTCGTAAATGAGTATGAATAGTTAAAAATAAAAATGCATAAGTGTAAGAGAATTTATGGTGCCTGACCTGTTGCTGCATAAACATCTTTAGGTTCGTGAATGCGTTATAAGGGTGACGAACAAATCTCATTATTCAATCTGACAATAGTAGTCTAATAGTTGGCGGTGAGTGCTGTTGGCGAGCTACATTCTCTCTAGTCTATCAGCTCAAAATTAGGGATAGTTATGTACCCTTATGTAGCATTGCATGAAATTCTGAAATAAACAAACATAGATAGACTGTTTATTTTTTAGATACACTTGAAAATAAATTTCTGAGAAAGAGCACGTAGACTGAATTTACAAAAAATTCAAACGAAACTGTTTTAAACAAAACATAATTTCAAACTGTACGCTAGTATTTAGAAAATACACTCGAGTATGCAAATATAAGCGAAACGGTTTGAACTCATAACGTTTGAATTTAATGGTACAATATTTTTCATTTTCAACAAAAAGCAAATACTAACCAATTTGCCGTCATTTTGTCGTTTGCATGCTAAAACTTACATTTGATTTGCTGCTGCAAAAATAAACGTGAATGTTATTTGGTATTTTCAATCTGAACAGCACCTACTGGGCATATGTGTTATGCGGCCATGTTAGGAATCCTTAAAGTTTAGGTCTAGCCATCTTTAAATCTGAACAGGTAGAAGTCATTAACCAGCATCTCCCACCCCCATAATGTCGCAATCCACGGGTTGCGGGATCAAAACCCATCGTCGAACATGCCCTTTCAGCCTTAAAGGTGTTATAATGTGACGGTTTGTTTGTTTGAGTTCAAAGCTACACAGTAGGCTATCTCAACTGTGTTCACTACGGGGAATTGAATCATAGATTTTAACATAGCAAATCCGTGAACTTACTGCTGATTTATTGGTGGGGACGTAATGTGGCTGTCTATCCCACTATTTGTTTGCAAAAGAGTGGAGCAAGAATTAGCAATGGGTGATGTTGACTAACTGCCTTCCATCTAATCTATCACTTCAAAAATACGGACGGTTAGTACAGAAAGCACTCGAGTTGCTTTGCCCGAAAATTCAACATAGCAAACAAACAATCCCTCACTTCTTTGTTCGACTCCAAGAACAGGGTAGACTGTCACTTTTTTAACGTGCCCACAGCTGAAATTGCAGAGCGGGTTCAGTAACATCGAATTTCCAACCCTGGTGTCTGTAGTGGAGCTTGGTACTATCCTATCCGTAGCCTGGTATATTAACGATTAGGTCATATATATTAACGATTAAGCCATGCCTAGCTCATATATATTAACGATTAAGCCAAGCCTAGCTCATATATGTTAACGATTAAGCCATGCCTAGATCATATATATTAACTATTAGGCCATGCGTAGCTCGTATATATTAACAATTAAGCCATGCCTAGCTTAAAATCCAGAAATCTGATTAGTGCTCCGAAACCGTTATGTATTGTTATTCTGTTTCAATGTTGTTGTTTAGTGTAAGAAAAAATATCTAAACACAAACTATTTTACATAGACAAAAATTACCTTTTTTTTAATACTGAAAGGAAAATTACGAAAAAAAAATGCTTACAAGATACCAAGGAGCTGTGATTATTTAAAATAAATTGTAAAATATAAAATATTAAAACATGTAATAAGCTGAAATGTGTGTAAAGTAGATTATAGAAATAGCGTATTGACACAAATAATTAAACCTAATTAGCTACTGCATTGATTTATCACTTACATACCTTCACTTACAGGGGCTTCAAGCCTCTAAAACAAGAGTTGTTTAAAGATATCTTCTTCATTTTCAGGAATCTTAGGGACGATTGGAAATGGAGCCATCATCACAATGTTTATTCGTTTTCGAGCTTTAACCACGCCAACAAGCCTCTTACTGATCAACTTAGCTGCATCCGATTTAGGGATATGTCTCTTTGGTTACCCGTTCTCCGCTTCTTCAAGCTTCGCCAAAAGGTTAGAAAAACTTTTCAAGGTTTTTTTTTCACAATTCTCTATTTACTTAAGGGCCATCAAATGTTACATAAACGTAATGGACCTAAATTCATGAAACAAACATGCAAAATAAATTATTCAGTAGAGGTCATATATATTATTTCAACTTGAATTATGTCTAAATGTAGATTTTTAATGCATAATTTATTGTATTTCATGTGAGAAGAACATTGTTTCGTGATCAACAAGTAAATTTCAGTCAACTTAATTAATAGTCAGAAATTAGATGATGGTGTCTTCTTATATACTTTAATTTTAATATATTAATCATTTGAAACCTGGGTATTAATTATTACATAGTTGTATGAAGGTTATTGTCAATAACAAGAGACAATACAGTAACTGTACATCTGTTCGGATATAAACAGCATAACAACTACTAGTTAGAAAACTACCCTAGAAAAAACGAAATAAAGTTAAACATTATCACAAGTATTTAGTGGATCTACTCCTAGAAATATTTTCTTTGACATATTGCTTCACATCGTAGTTGCAAAATCTGAAATCTAGGCTTGTGGGACTGAACCCCACTCCTTACTAAGAACTTGGATGAAAGTGTCCCTCGAAGTTGGTTGTTTTGGGCACCTCTGAAGGATGGATCAAAGAAGAAGAACCCATTATCAATGAGATTCATGTCCGACGATTTGCTTGTTTGTTTTATTTTGTTTGAAGTTAAGCACAAAGCAACACAATGCCTGTCTGTGCTCTTGGTTTTAGGTGCCAGAATTGTACAGCAACTGGTGGTTTTCCCACAAGGCTGGAACTGAATTGTTATCCTATTTACTGTGTACTGCAGCAATGAAAGTAACATGGCGATTTCTTGCTGAATTTCACTGCTACCATTGTCCAACTATGTGACCTTGTATATCTATGGTTAATTATTGAGATTATTTCGTTTTTGTAGCATGACTGTTTGTACTTTTTCGTCTTTACTGAGCTATATCTTTATTTATGTGTTAGGGTTATTTGCATATGATGTCATGAAGATGACCACTTTGTATTTTCTGGTATGTCAACTATTTTTCTAGGTGGCTCTTCGAGTACATCGGATGTCAGTTATATGCATTTACGAGTTTTCTCTTTGGCTCTGCTCACATTGGGACATTAGCTCTTTTGGGATTGGACCGTTATATGATGACATGTAAGATTGACCTCAGTAAGTAGTATGTTATAAGCATTTTCTATAGTCGTTATGATGACTTTCGACAAAATATATGATATAATTAGACATATTAGGATATTAAAAGAATTACAACTGCAGTTTGTCAACTCCGATATGTCGCAGTGTATATTTTGGCTTTATTTTCCTACTAGTACTGTAGGTCAGCTTTCCTCCTGTGAAGAAACAGTTTAATAAAAACAATTCTCTATATCTTTGTGGATGTCATCAGGAGAAGATATATTCAGATCATATGCTGTGTTTGGGCCTACGCTATTTTCTGGGCAATGATGCCTTTCCTGGGATGGGGAAGGTAAGAGGCGAAGAAAGGAAATACTTTTTGGAACATAAACAAACTTCGTATTGTAATATATATATATTCAGTTAGTACTGCTTTAAGTTCTTCAGAAAAGTTGCTAAACTATTATTCTTAATATTATTTGAATAGGGAGTACATCACTCAAATATGTTTTAGAATTTGTTTTTTAATCTCATGAGAAAATCATTTTTCGAGCATGAACTAGAAATCAAAGTTTTCTCCTATATCTGTTGAAATAATATATACTGAAATAAATAAAATCGTTCAAGCTAACATTATTGTTTAAGCTTTTACTAAAACTAAAGATATTGTATAACAAGCTCCTGGAAACACTTAAAGGAGCCTCCTCCCAGTGGCACAGCGATATGTCTACGGACTTCTACTGCTAGAAATCGGCACCTATTGTGTAAGTTTGTGGTTAATAACAAACAACACTTAAAGGATAATCAGAACTTGTAATATGATAGTTTGAAAAGGTAAAAACCATTATTTCAAATCTAAGTCATTCACCCAGTCCTTTGTTATGTAAGCTAAGTATTATGATTAGTCAGATGATCTGAAACGTAAATTAATCGTATTTCATCTTATTCTATGTATACAACATTTTCAAATAGCCTTATCATTTTCTAGTAAATTACAGAGTTTCAAGTATTTAAAGCTGTTTATGAATGATATCAAAATTTCATAGAAGACGTTTGAATACTTCGTTTAATATGAGAACCATTGGATTGAAGCCTGCTAATCATAGTAGGATGTTTCCCGTTAATAGCAGACATCTCATGCAAACTACATGCCACTTGTCAGTTTTGAGGTACATGGTCCGAGACACATTCGGGTATTCACGGACGAATCTGGACACCAACTTTACAGTTAACAAAGAACATGTCGAGCATTATTCTTTTTACATATGAGTTGCAGCCAGACGCTTAGTAGACGCAGTTGTCTTAAATGTAGCCAAAAACACTTCCAGTTAACAAAAAACATGTCGAGCATTATTCTTTTTACATATGAGTTGCAGCCAGACGCTTAGTAGACGCAGTTGTCTCAAATGTAGCCAAAAACACTTCCAGTTAACAAAGGACATGTCGAGAAGTACTCTTTTTACATATGAGTTGCAGCCAGACGCTTAGTAGACGCAGTTGTCTTAAATGTAGCCAAAAACACTTCCAGTTAACAAAGGACATGTCGAGCAGTACTCTTTTTTACATATGAGTTGCAGCCAGACGCTTAGTAGACGCAGTTGTCCTAAATGTAGCCAAAAACACTCACAGTTAACAAAGGACATGTCGAGCAGTACTCTTTTTACATATGAGTTGCAGCCAGACGCTTAGTAGACGCAGTTGTCCTAAATGTAGCCAAAAACACTTCCAGTTAACAAAGGACATGTCGAGCAGTACTCTTTTTACATATGAGTTGCAGCCAGACGCTTAGTAGACGCAGTTGTCTCAAATGTAGCCAAAAACACTCACAGTTAACAAAGGACATGTCGAGCAGTACTCTTTTTACATGAGTTGCAGTCAGATACGCATTTAAAGAGTAGTTAGAACCATATCAACTCAGTTTTCATACAGAAAACTAACGCATTTGGCACTGGTGGAATGATAGTATGCTCAGAAATAGGCATTAGTCACCATTCAGCCTAAGGAGTAATAACATCCGCCCTTACTATGATGAACTGGTCGACATAGTCTTGAAATAAAAGGAAATTGACCAACTGGGTTTCAATCCTTTCGAACATGGATGGAATGCTTTTGGAAGATCCTGTCAAGTGACTCCAGTCACTAAAAATGCCATGGAAACAACTCTTTCGGAGAAGTAGTCTAGGATACTTCAGGATCTTATCGCCATCCTAGTTTTAAGCATACATCGTTTTCAAGTTCGTAGTATATTATCAATACTCCGGAATAAAACTATCTCATTGGCTATAAAGATTTAAATGTGTCTCTACTAAAGGCTAATGTGGAAGCGTAGGTTGAATGATAAATATTTTGAATTTTAGATCATATGATGGGTCATTAAATGCCTGATTTGCAAAGAAATGAAGTAAGGGGGTAATTGATATAATTACGTGAGTGTTATTTTGCTTGTCACAGCTACGATATTTCAAATTTCATCATCATTTAATTATTTTGTGCAGTGTACTAGAATGACTTTTTCTCTGTTCTTGAATTCCAGGACCATTTTACAAGAGTTTGTTTGTTGTTAAGCGCAAATGTATAGAATGGGTTGTCTGTGCTCTACCCACTGCGGGTATCTAAGCCTGATTTTTCAGCGGCATAAGCCCTCAGACTTACCGCTGAGTCATCGAGGGCGTATTTTTTACAAGAGACTCATCTGCTTTAAAGATAGCAATAAAGGTTTAAACCTATGTTATTGTATGCATTTAAAAATGGCAATTATTTTGAAGAAAGCAAAGTAATAGAAAACATAATTTACAATTATAACTAGCTTATGATTTCTGAAAATTTGGAATAATACAGAAACTGGAGTTCTTACTTCTTCAGGTTTGATAGACTTGAAAAAGATGTTTGCTTATAACATAGTAAAGTGTTAATTTAAGTTACTATATATATTAGTAAAGGAGTGCACATATTTTAATCTCTTTATTTAGTGCAACGTTTTTACAAATTCAACTTTGTTTTCTTATTAGTCTACCCAAAATATGTTCTATATTCCATTTCCAATTAATGGATGTCCCTGTATTGATGACGTACTGAATTCTTAGTAATTGTGTTATTGTCTGAGTTTAACAGGTATGGGCCAGAGCTTAGCATTGCCACTTGTATTATCGACTGGAGACATAACGACAGCAAATATAAGTCCTTCATTATCGCTTACTTCGTCCTGGGTTTCCTCGTACCTTTCTTGATGATCGCCATTTGCTACTACAAGGCTGCTTGTCAACTAAATCTCAAACCTTTTCCTTTGCATCTTCACAGCACCACTTGTGATCAGTGGGCTAATGAGCGTAACGTAACATTAGTATGTCTTATTTCAAATCATATTTATATATATTCCGTTGTAAATATTTGATTCAAATAAATATAATAAATATCATTTATGAAGTTCGTCTACAAGAGATAGGGTTAGTCTGATATGATAATAGAACAGTGCTAAACAGTGTAGCGTAATCGGATAGCACTGGTCCATCACCATCACAAACCAAGTTCGATCTGTAGGTCTATTTTATAAATCACAAATTCTTAAAACAAATGTACATGTTCAATGATAAATATTGTTGGCATTCAACACCATATGTGTGTTATACGAATTTATAAGAATAATGTACCTATGGTGATCAGTGAATAATATTGTTGGCATTCAACACCATATGTGTGTTATACGAAGTTAGTAAAATAATGTACCTATGGTAATTAGTGAATAATATTGTTGGCATTCAACACCATATGTGTGTTATATGGAGTTAGTAGAATAATGTACCTATGGTAATTAGTGAATAATATTGTTGGCATTCAACACCATATGTGTGTTATACGAAGTTAGTAGAATAATGTACCTATGGTAATCAGTGAATAATATTGTTGGCATTCAACACCATATGTGTGATATACGAATTTATAAGAATAATGTACCTATGGTAATTAGTAAATAATATTGTTGGCATTCAACACCATATGTGTGTTATACGAAGTTAGTAGAATAATGTACCTATGATAATTAGTGAATATATGTGTGGGGGATTCTTTTTAAGTGACAAAGATACGTCCTACGTAGAGATGTTAAATTTGATTTAATTTTCCAGACGTGTATAGTGGTTGTCATCGCCTTCCTGGTAGCCTGGACGCCATATGCTACACTGTGCCTTTGGACAGTTTTCCGACCTCCATTTACTGTTCCCCCTTATTTCACTTTGATGCCACCTCTTTTTGCTAAAGCTTCAGCCGTTTTCAACCCCATTATTTACTACGTGGCTAATCCACGTCTACGCATGGGGATACGTGCACTCCTCAAATGCTCTGACGATTTTCCCAACGGGATGGAACCGAATAATCCCGAAGCCTTATCGGAAATACGACAAGTACCGAATAATCCCGAAGCATTATTGGAAATACATCAAGAATCGCGTAATCCCGAAGCTTTATTGGAAATACGACAGGTATCTAGTAATCCCGAAATCGTATTGGAAATACATCAACTATTGCGTAATCCCGAAGCTTTATTGGAAATACGACAGGTACCGAATAATCCCGAGGCCTTATCTGAAATACAACAGGTTTCGAGTAAACCCGAAATTACGTCGGAAACACCAGAATATATCTGAGTTTTTATTCAGGAATCACCTTTAATCAGCTTCATTAGATGATGAACTAAATAGAGATGTTATCAAGGAATTGTTAAAGTCCTACATGTGTGGCACTATTTGTTTAAGTTTTAACAGAGATTAACTTTGATATATGAGAAAGATGATGTATCTCACTGCGGTGTGATTTCTATTAGGCACCACTGAACCCTAGTTTTATTTCTGTTCTAAATGTATTACATCATTTCTTCTTTTTTTTCACCCATTTGTCTTCTTTTAATAACTAGTTAGTTATTTTTTATGTATTTTCTGTTTCATTAGGAGTAACTAACTGACCCACAAATGGCTAATGGGGGTAAATGGCAGTTTTAAGTGAGGAATCTCGTGGGGTTAATCACCCATATCTTCTCCTAATTATTATTATTTATTTAAGTACTAGTCTTATTTGTTATATATATTTGTCACAAAAGGGAATAATGTGTTTAAATTAAAATTATAGTTTTGTAGTATGAATGTACCATTGTAATGAATAAAACCCTATAACCCGAGCGCTTTCGAAAGGTGGACCTTTCGTCTTCAGTTTGCCTCTTTCGAAAGCGCTCGGGTTATAGGGTTTTTATTCATTTCTATCAAAACTTCTTGAACCTACGTGTTTTTCTAACATCATGAATATATCATTGTAAAATATTTTAAACTTTGCCGTTTTATGCATCGGAGTCACGTTTATCTGGTACTTTCTGGACAAAATAAAAACTATTATTTTGCTGAAATAGGCGATGTGCTATTGTATAAAACATGTAAACATAGTTGTCTTTTAGACTATCTAGAAAGTTTGATTCTAAATTGAAGAGAATTTGTTTCTTAGTCAATTGTAACATGCTATGTGATCTTACCATGAACTTTGAAGTAGTGTGACCTATTTTACCGAAGTAAAATGAAGTAGAAAAGGTTAACAATTAGCTTAGCTAGAGATTTTACATAAAACCTACATAAATCGTGCAATCTTGTGATAATACTAACAGAAGATAACGATCATTATAATGTTATTTAAACATGGGTTTTTTTTTAGTCAATGTTAGCAGACTTTTGAAAGGGTTAATCTCGTGAGAGCCCTCTATATGTATGTGTAAATGTACTTTAAAAATTTAGGAGATATATCAAGTGTTTGTCTTATATTACGTATTCATTTTCTTTAGATTAAAAAAAATTGATTTTGTACTTATGGCGTACTTATTTTATAAAAAAATGGAAAAATTAAATGCGTCTATTTCCTTTTTTCTTGCAGTTTCAAAATAAAGCCTAAATAAAATTTAATTTTATAATCTGGAAATCTCTTCTTTATTTTATTTTTTTTTACTAACAAACTATGAGTTGTTTCCCTGAAATCTGCTATCGTGTTATGTTTCCAGAGGTGACAATAAATGATGAACGTCGTCATTAAGAATAATAAAAAAAAAACGAATGTGAAATACGAGGAGATTATAAATAAAAGTTCTATATTTAAAATGATAACACCTTAAAAACTACTTGTCTCAGGTGAAATAAATTTCACCAGAATCATGTTTTATTTAGGAAGGTTTGTTCATGATTTTACGAACATCTCAATGCACTTTCTATCCTTCCCAATCAACATGTCAAGCTTATTCCTAAATGAAGCTACTGTAAGCATCATTTCTTCTGAACAGGGCTCATTGATCTGCGCAATATCCTCCACGCTGACTTAGGTATTGCGAAAATTAAAATATTTCATTACTGACAAAGAAAACTATAAAGCAATGTTAATTACCATACTTATATTTGCTTGTTTGTAATTAAGCAGAAAGCTACACAATGGGCTATCTGTGCTCTGCCCACCACGGGTATCGAAAACCGGATTCTAGCGTTGTAAATCCCCAGACATACCGCAGACATATAACTTTACTTATTAGGATAATAAATTTATTTATTGAACATTTTTAAGTAATCGTTAACACGCACAACTAAATTTAAGAAAGTCCGAAAATAACCTCCTTTATACCCTTTTTTAGCCAAATATCTACAATTGTAAATATGCATAATTCTACCTTTGATAATTTTATTCGTATTATAAAGATATATATATATATATACATGTCTAAACGAAGTAGAAAATTCGTTAAGTATAATAGAGAATACGACGATAGTTGATTGAATAGATCTAGTTCAATGGTACGGTGGGATATACCAATGATGAGTCACATGAAACATATTTCCCACGCCAATCAAAGCACATATAAACTTTTCACTTCAAAGTGAAGTTTCGAGCAACTGCTCTTCGTTAAGCGTGGAATCCTGATTTTAAATTATTCACGCTCAGTGTTTTGATGCTGGGAGTGGCCATGTGGTTATTGTGCCCAGATCGTAAGTTCTAGAATAATCATTCGCAGCTTCTACCGCAAAAATGTTTGTTTGTTGTTAAGCTCAAGACCACACAATGGGCAAACCGTACCATGCCCACCACGGGTATAGACACCCGGTTTTTTAGCGTTATAAGCCTTTCGACTTAGCGCGGAGACACTGGAGGGCAACGCAAAATTGGGTTTCGCACTTTGGAGCTGTAGGTGAGCTATAAGAACTACGGTCGAATCCCACTATTCGGTCATACAAGAGTTGGCGGTTGGTGCAGCTGATTACTTTCCTTCTTCTTGTGTCCCACTTCTAAATATAGGCGACTATGCACAGATCACCTTTGTGTAACATTGCACGAAATTCCGAAACGGAAACAACAATCGCTCTCCCGAAGCTTGTCATCGCTGAAAAGTTTAGTAAACAAGCTTGTTCCTTCTCTTAATTATTAAATTCCGAAACGAAAACAACAATCGCTCTCCCAAAGCTTGTCATCTCTGAATAGTTTAGTAAGCAAACTTGTTCCTTCTCTTAATTATTAAATTCCGAAACGAAAACAACAATCGCTATTCCGAAGCTTGTCATCTCTGAATAGTTTAGTAAGCAAACTTGTTCCTTCTCTTAATTATTAAATTCCGAAACGAAAACAACAATCGCTATTCCGAAGCTTGTCATCTCTGAAAAGTTTAGTAAACAAACTTGTTCCTTCTCTTAATTATTAAATTCCGAAACGAAAACAACAATCGCTCTCCCAAAGTTTGTCATCTCTGAAAAGTTCAGTAAACAAACTTGTTCCTTCTCTTAATCATTAAATTCCGAAACGAAAACAACAATCGCTCTCCCGAAACTTGTCATCTCTGAAAAGTTTAGTAAACAAACTTGTTCCTTCTCTTAATTATTAAATTCCGAAACGAAAACAACAATCGCTCTCCCGAAGCTTGTCATCTCTGAAAAGTTTAGTAAACAATCTTGTTCCTTCTCTTAATCATTAAATTCCGAAACTAAAACAACAATCGCTCTCCCGAAGCTTGTCATCTCTGAAAAGTTTAGTAAACAAACTTGTTCCTTCTCCTAATTATTTTTTCTTTTACATTTAATTCTAACCAGTTTGGGGTCGGCCGGTATTTTTGTAAGTCAAGTATATTTTTCACCCATCAACCATATAGGAAGAGCATGTTCGATGATGACGATTCGAACTCGTGACCCTCAGATTGCGAGTCGAGCGCCCTTTTTAAAATTAATATTCTTAAAACAAACAAAAATTATTTACCTTTTCAGTGAACCTTCGATTGTTTATTCAACTTGAAACTGCAAATTCGTCACTTCTCCTGGAAAAGAAAGTTTGTTCATTCTTAGCAGTGTTTATTAGTTTAATTTTCACGCAAAGCTACACGAGGGCTATCTGTGCTAACCCTCCATAATTTTGAACTGATAAACTAGAGTGGAAGCAGTTAGTCAAAACCATCTATCATCAATTCTTTACCAACGAATAGTTGGATTGAGCTTCACATTTTAACGCTTCCACGGCTAAAAGGTCAAGCAAGTTTGGCCAAGAATTTCGATTTCACGACAAAGCCATGACAAACCTTTGAGCAGTGTCTTACTACAAATGTGTGACAAACCTCTTAG